AGAGACAGATAAAAAGTTATACCCCAATTTTAAGTTCCCATCTTTAATGCAACTTGACTGGTGCCATTTTGTTTGATAGTTCCTGAGTGGTAAAGACCCATGTCTTTCAAAGTTCATGCCCCTGGGTTTGTAGTGCAGTTTTCTTTGTGACAGCTCCTGATAGCATCATCAGGGTTATTTACTAAGACTTGACAACGCTCCTCCACGGCTACAGGAGATTTCATACAGCTGTTTTTACAGGTTGAGTAGTACTCACCATGGCCAGTTAACTCTTAATGAGTAAAACTGATGGACTTCTGCTTCAAAAAGGCACATATGCTTTGAATGAAAATACCTGCTACATGGTGAAGCCATATGGTAGAGCAAACTACAACGTTTGAGATAATGAAGACCAGGCCGGTTAACTGAAGACTCTCAGTCCAAACTGAGAGGCCGGAAGATGTGTTATGGTATAAGTACTGCAGTTGTATCTAGTTGCATGGATCAGATGGTAAAGCTGTATCCTTTTGCAAGACACATGTGAATAAGTTGCTTTATAGATGCCTCTAAATGTGTCTCTGTGAATGGCAGGAAGAAGTGCTGTAAATATTTTCACTCTTGTTACCCTGAGGTCTGGTCTCCATTTGGTTCCATGCACTTTATTGTTTTTGACTGTGTTATGTTTAAATTACAAGAACCATGTTGGTGACTGATGTTTCAGAGCTCTCTGGTATTCATGGACACACATTTCAAACAGAGACCAAACAAAGTCTTGAATTAAGATTAAAATAATCTTACAAATGTGTGGCATTTGTGGATTAAAACTTTTTTGTACACTGTGTATAAGTAACTGGATCATTAAACATTGAGCCCAGTTCCCACTTAGATATCTTAAATCACTGCAGTTCCTGTACAGAAACATTTAACCTGTGCAGAACTTTCCAATTCCATCAGAAAGCACCACAAATGCTGCTACCACAGGGAGGAAAGGTAGATTTTGCAGGTTTTGAACTATGGTGCTCTAATTGGATTAGTGGGCAGTTGAGAAGGAAATGAGAGTAAGAAGGGATTTACACACTAACACAATTTGGCCTGTTAGCGTACGAACTCTGCTTTGTCAGTTAGCACAGCTTGATGTGAAGGGTTTGTGCGATTGGTTGTAAACAGCTAGATGATTGAGTGATGAGTGCAATTACTGAATCCTATTTACAGTTTTTGAACAAAGAGACAAACACAGACGAGTTGTCTAGCTCGACGGTATCAAAGCACAAAATTGCAGCATTTTTCTCGAGCGTCTCTTCCATTCACTACAGACTTATTTGTTTCTTTATTTCAAAGGATTTTTATCCCACTTCAGTCTCAAGCCAAATGGGTTATGCACTTGTTTGTCAGCATAAAGCCGAAGCTCAAGCATAAATGAAGAAAGCTCAGAGATCAAATCGCAGCCTTGGGAAGAACCACAAGATCTTTTTGCAGACGCACTATACAAATGACTCAGTGTCTGTCCACTGCGCCAGTGTGTAATTGACGGTTGTGGATAAGTTATAGTACATATTTTACATTTCCCTTTCCAACTTTTTCTGCCTTTAAAGGCATATTTGGGGATGCACTATGGAGGCTAAAGGGTGAATCATTTTCTCTGTCTCATTTACATTTACATTACATTGAGGGACATCACTAAAGCTTCAAAATCTCAATTCTTCATCATCTACAGTTCGGCTGACATGCAGCACAATAACGATACTTTTTGTAGTCAGGGGTTAAACATCTCTTGCTCAGTGCATAATTCAAATTTAGTGTGGTTTGTCATTTAGTTATTTTGGTTGGATTGTGTCTAACGGTGGCACCACCGGTTATTTTGGTCAAGCGTAGCCTAAAACAGTGGCACCACCAAAACAGTTTTGGATATGGCAGATTTGGTGTGTGTGTCAGTAAATAGAGACTTAGAGACAGCTGAAGGTACAAGGATGTGCTTAAAGTCTTTGGGTGGTCTAACCTCTCTGGGAGATTCAGCCTATTTTTTGTGAGTGTCGGTGTTGAACAGTGGTCATTAATAACAGACAAACCAACCCCACCAGGCTGGGATTGCCTTCCAGCCAAATTCAGATGTTCACGCCTAAGCAATTCTCCCACTCTGTTTTGACATGCTCTATTACAGGTTCTGCATCCTACACCAGATCCAGAAAAAAAATTGACAGCTAAATGAAATCATTCATTTTCTGGTCTGATGTCATCCAAAAATTGCCATAATTGCCGAGGCCTGGCGTCTATGGTCTGTAACTGGCAAGGACACCATCGCAGGGCGAGGTGCACGGAGAGGAAAGAATACTTATGGATGTTTCCTGCTGGATCTGTGTTAACTCTTTGTCTGTTAAAACATGAGGGATGTATAGTACAGTAAGTGGTGCAGGACCACTTTCCTACGTCTGCTCGGAAAGCTCGACCAGCTTTCTGCTGCACTGACAAGCAAAGGCAAGATAGGACTTGATGTGGTCAGACCCAAGAGGCTAATGATAGACTATCAAACCCAGCAGCATAGGCTCAGGGTACTTCTGTGCAGTGTATGGGAATGCACACAGATGCTGTTATGTAACCATGTGGAGCCACCATGAATTTAGAGTGAGGGGAGATTAAACGACTGCACAGAAAAACAAGGACCTAGTCCTGGTCCTTGATGAAAAAAGAGCAGAGGGGCAGAATCACTTCACCTTATATATATATGTATATGTACAAATGTACATATGTATATGTACATACATATATATACTCCTTGATGGGTATAGATTGAAGGGGAAGTCACTAATTCTCAATATTTAATGCATTAGCCTAATTTAAGGTTTGAGCTCAAGGCTGGTGGTACAAGGTGTACGCAGAGTTCTTTTCTTACGAATGAAGAGATCAGACAGTTTATTTAGTCTAAGCGTCTGGGAAAGGGGTCAGAGGTTGCAGGAGTGCAGCAGCTCTTTTTCTTCACCCTCTGCTTTTTCTTTCCACAGCCCCAAGCCGAAGGGTTTAGCACATCGAGTTAAAGGATGTTGCGGGTTGATCTTGATCGCTGGTTCTTCCTCTTGGCCTGCTTCCTCTCTTACCTCACTGCGAACTGTCCCACTTCTGGAGCTGGTCAGCACTATCCCTACCTGCCAGACACACTGCTGTCTTTAGGCGGAGACAGGGATGGGTTATACACTCAGCCTGTTGTGTAAGAGCAGTGTAAAGAGATAATACTCTTTGCTCAAGACAAGCTCTTAGCCTGTACTTTCACCTGCCATCATTAACACAGTTATCTCTCCAAATCCCTGCACCACAAACAAGATAGTCACAGTTTACTCTCAGATTAATGGGTCATACTTTATATTTTAGGGTTACAGATCTGAAGGCAGTGTTGCATAAAAAAAATCCCAAAGACTTACACTTCACCTTTAAGGCAGACATTTAACTTTTCCAGCCAATACTGTTCTGTAATGATATACAATTATGTTAGAGAGCATTCTGTCTACATAAACTGTGTCCATATAAAATGTTGGGTATGAGTACATTTCTAGACAGAGAAATTCAAACCAATTAAAGTCTTTATCCCAATGACATTTGATCTAACTTCAACTGTTGCAACTTGCATCTCACATGTCTCTGCTTCCCACAACTGTCAAGACACCCAGCAGCAGGGATGCCTCTAAGATCTGAACTGTAGCAGGGCTCAGTTCCTGGTCGACTGTGGGAGTAAACCTTCATACATTTAACTTCTGGGAGCCTTTTCTCCCAGGAATAGATTTGCTATGAAAACAGTCTGTAAGTGATTGCTTCCAAGAAGTTGTCAGAGTTGAGATATAAACACATTTTATTTTACAAGGATACAAAAGACCTTGTAGAAAGCACTTGCACGGGGAATCTCAAGTAATTTCATTCTGTGAATGTTTGTTTAACTGACCTCAGCTAACTCACTGTGCACCACAGGACTCAAAGGCAGACTGTGAACGGCATAGACTTGTGCAATTACAGGCTCAAGTCATTTTAAATAATATCATTCCAGTTCAATATTAGGATAATTTCACTGCAGCTGTTGAGTGTCTCTGCAATTCTTGTAAACAGCCTCAACAGTCTCAGCATTCATCCTTTAAAAGGGAATGTTTGCTCAAGCAGGTTCCTGAAAAAGAAGATGAAATATTGTGTAACAGGCCAAATGATTATAAAATCTCAATGTGAGCTCAAAAGATTTCAGAAAGCCTGGATTGCATTTCTTTCTTTTTACAAATTTGCATGATGTACATGGCAAATAGAAGACAACAAAACAGGATGACGACTGTAAGATCAGTGTTTTCAGAGTGAAAGCAAAGTTAATTCTCATGAAATGATCTGACCAGTTGACCTGAGGAGTTGTGAAGTTGTCTGGAACTGTAGACTTACACCACAGCCCCCTCTGGTGGCAATGACGTGTAAATAAAACCAGGAAGAGACCCCCAAACTTTATTTTCTAAACTAAAGGGAAAATCTAGTCTGCAAACACTCCAAACTCAAATTCCCCTATTCGCTATTAAAAAAACCTCTACTGCTGTGTGCTGAAATTGTAGGTGAGGTATTAAACATGTAGTGAACTGTGATTCAGTGTCATGCTCCCGTGTGGCACGACAGCTGCTGGGACTGGTGTGCAGACAACTGGAGTGCAGCTGCATTCAGTTTGTGAAAGATTAATCATTAGACAGTGACCTCGTTTGAGCTGAGAACCGACATCAACACTCAGCTGCTGATATAATGCAGCCATGATACAGAGAAATAGCCTATACAACAGAATATGGAGTCAGTGATATCAAAGACGGACAAAAGAAATAAAATAAAGTTGAAATCGCTGATTTCCTGCTTGAATGGAGGAAATGAGGAAGCATTTTAAAGTTTATTAATTAAGTATATTTTATATGAATCATTATTGAGATTTACATAATTGTGTGTTGCCCCATGAGTCTACTACGGGGTCTATATTTAGTTGTTGTCATGTGTCGCGCTGGTCAGCTGGGATCCTGCACCAGGACACGCCTCTGGGCTGAATGGAGTGCGCCGTGCGCACAGTCCGAACTGCAGCGGAGCCAAACTTTTTTTTTCTTCTTTTTTTAACCTCATTTGACGGGTTTTAATAAGTATCCAATCGACATTATTGAGTCGCTTAAAGTCGATTAAATGCAGCGATGACGCGAGAAGAAGATCTCATCCGGATTGCAAAGAAACTGGACAAGATGGTGTCTAGAAATAACACGGTGAGACGATATTTTGACACCCACAGGTGGCGCGTTGTCCTGCCACCTCGTGCTGTGCAGAAGGCCCGTGAGTGTCTGAATGTAAATGAAATGTTTACCTCCAATCTAACGGAGACGATACGTTTGATTTCGTGTATTTTGGAAAATTTGCACAGTTGTAACACGAGCCTGACTGAACTGTAACAAATGATCAACAGGTGTTTGGCGCGGGTTTGCAGACATTTCGCTTTGCAGGACGTTTCGTCTTCGAGTGTGCAACGGAACGCCTCATGGGTCATGTTTTGTCTGCCGTGTCCAGACTTTTTGCAAATCTTTTGCTGGTTGACATTTGAAACAGTAACTAAAGTGTGCAACAGAAAGTAAACAACGCGGCCTGTGGGCAAGGTCGTGTGTGTGTGTGTGTGTGTGTGTATGTGTGTGTGTGTGTGTGTGTGTGTGTGTGTGTGTTGTGACTGAATGTGCAAACAGGACGTTGTTTCATGGCGCTCTTTCACAGTTGGAGGAACGTTACCGCGTTGTATCAACAAATACTGACTTCTAGCTTGTAATCAGAGAAATTGAATGAATGCTTATTTAATGCCTGTTGCTAGACATTATTTGAATTTATGCCATCAATATTGATTTGACTTAAAGGCTGCTGAAAACTTCAAAATACAAAAGTGAAACTGTAACTGCCTACTTATCATTTTGTTTTAATGTCCGCGTTTGCACGCTGTCAAATATGTATTTTACATTATTGTCACATATTTCAAAATGAACGCATTCAAGATTTAAAGATTAAAAGTATAAATATCAGCTGTGATTATTTTGTATTTGCAGGAGGGCGCCATGGACCTGCTGAAAGAGCTGAAAAGTTTCAATATGACACTCAAGCTTCTCCAGGTAGAGTACAGTATATAATTATGAGTTGTTGTTTTTTTTTTATAGCTGTATACTAGATTAGAGTACAGTTTTATTATTATATGTATTTATTGCTCTCCAGCCAGTTAACTGATTAGAAGCAATAACTGACATGAAAAAAGAAATAACTGCATAATTATCAAAGCTGTATATTTACATGTGTATGTTTGTTTTAGGAAACGAGGATTGGTATGTCTGTGAATGGTATCAGGAAGCACTGCACGGATGAGGAAGTCATCGCCTTGGCAAAGGTTCTCATTAAAGACTGGAAAAGACTTCTGGGTACGCTTGACTTTGTGATATGATACATGATTTACATACTGTACATAGATGATTTATTGAGAGGGTAAATGGTCTCTGATATGATTCCCTCACACAGACTCTGGCCATTCTCACTCTGAGAAACCGGCTGAAATGAAGAACGGATTGGACTCCAGCAAAACAGCAGCGTCTCCAAACAGCTCACCCTCCGAGACACAGAGTAGGTCAGTACTTTCACGGATACTGCACAGAAACTACACAGGTGAAATTACAGTTAACACAGAAGAAGAGACATTAAAGTTCTGGTACCTACAGTGACTAAACTGCTGTAGGTTCAGCCGCACATGTTACATGCAGTTATGCACCCTGAGAAATAGTTCAACCCCCCATGCAACAACAGCATTGTGCAAAGATACTCTAAAAATTAAAAGATGAAAATGTCAGAAGTAACAATGTACTTGCCTGGAGAGTGTTCTGCAGCAGTAAGGTAATAATTATTTAAAGATAATGTAAAATGTTGTGATTTAAGTAGCACTGCATCATCATTTTGAAGAAGTACGGTTTTTCTACCCTCTGACAGCAGTAGACGGACTGATGTCATTGTACTTGTAGTGCTGAAATGCAAGGGAAAGTATATTAACCTGCAAAAATAACCTGTGACTCATAGCAATTATTAAATAAGACAATATTCAGCACCAAGGACAGTGCTTTATGATTAGAAGAAAAGTGATAAAAGAAACTTAATTTCAGATCACATCTTCTAGCAACAGCTCATCAAATGTAAAAATCAGTTATAACAGCAAAGTGAATTAAAAGAATTTGTTCTGTAGTGTTTTTGTACTTGCTTTGGTATGACTGTGATCAAATGAGGACACCTGAAATTTACCTTAAAGTCTTGGCGCACATGACTGCGTCTAAATGACTGAGGTTGTAATTTGTGTGTTTTTTGTTTTTGTTTGTTTAATTAATTTCAAGGCATTCATATGTACAAGTGGACGTTTCTAAAGTGGTTACAAAAGCAGTGATAGCCTTCAAGTTTTTTTTTTTTTTTTTTTTTGCATGTACTTAAGCACAGAATTTCATCAGCTTGGAGCACAATGTGACAACGTAAGAGGCAGAGAGGATATTTATCTTTATAAAGCACTCGTTAATGTCAGTCAACTCATAAAATGAATAATATTCATTTTATGAGTTGTTACAGGTGACTGTGTTGTTGCTGGTTCACCTTTGCATAGCCAAACTAATGTGATGTGTAATGAGCTTCATGTATTTAACACTGTTGCAGATATGAGTTACTTTCTTATTGTAAAAGTTTCCTCATCAACATTCAACATGTTAATAATTAAATTACAGCTAAATAATTACTGGTAAATGATACTAATGTTCAAAATAAGATCAGGCCTGTAGGTGATGAAGGTCAGATGGTTTTCCCACATCACATTGTTATGAAACCAAGTAGCTACTGAGCAAAATGCCATCTGGAATGACTTTTATTACAATGGAGAAGAGAAGATATTTTATTACCCACATCCCTATTAAATATTTAATCCTGTCTGGATATGGCCGAAAGTGCATTGCGGCGATGAACCTGGCGTGAGTGAAGCTGGTAAATGTTTGCTGGCTCTTGAACGGAGGTAAAAACGATACTTCCTTTGTTTCTGTTAGTCACAGGAGACTGGACGTCAAGGCGAAACATGACTCAGATCCTGACAAAAAACACTTCGATAAAAACAGAAAAGAGAAACATAATGACGAGCACAAAAACAAAAAGAGGCATTCAGATGACCTCAGGGATGAAAAGCACCTGGACGAGCCCAAAAATGAGAAACATCCGCAAGAAATGAGAAAAGAAAAGCATTTAGAAGAATCCAAAAAACAAAAAGCTGTGGAGGATCCCCATCTGGAGATGGATAACAAGAAACAGAAGCATGTGCAAGACCTGCAGAGTGAAAGACACAAGCCAGACCCAAGGAAAGAAAGACCGTTAGAGGAACAAAAAAAGATGAGACACGTGGAAGAACTCAAAAAGGAAAAACACCCCGAGGAGCCGAAGAAGCACAGCAAAGATGACATGAAGAAGGACAAGCACAGAGAAGACGGCAGACACGAGAGGCCGATAAACACTCCGCAACGAGAGAGACTGCCGAGTGAACCCCAGAGAGAGAAACCTGCTGAGGCTCACAAGTCCATATTTGAAAGGTGAGAAGAAGGTGGCTCAAACAGTGATTATTACACATCAAAATGATCCAGCAGAGCTTCAGACTGAATTATTCATTTCAGGAGAGGAGTCTTGGACAGCAGCATTCTGTATCCCACCCGGTTCCCCTCTCCTCCTCGCCCCGCTCGACCTCCTCTCCCGATCAAACGTCCCTCTTTGGACGGGAAAAAAGACAGGTCAGGACTTTTACATCGCCTGAGCCGGAGAGCATGAAAGACTCAAATGCTCCTGCTGGTATTGCATGACATAATGGTTTTTGAGTTACTCATATGCATGTTGACATTTGTTCCTGCAGTTTTGTAACCAGACTCATGGGCAAACAGGACACCCGTGGTGCATGGTGCATGCTGTGATGACTAAGTCAGGTGTGTTTTTACTAAAAGGATTTTATATTTAGCTTGAACAGCATGCTACATTTTTGGGGGAGTCCTGAGGTGCAAGCGCTCTGATCTGTACTGTTGTGAAATTTATTCAGGAAGGATGGTAAAGACTCCGCCTCCCGACAGCCTCGCCCTCACACTCCTCGACCCGCCTCTCCTCCGGCCAAGCGGCCTTCACTGGAAGTAAAGAAAGAGAGGTCAGGTGTGCTTTGGTGCATGTTTGTGATTGGATTCTTAAGTGTGAAGAAGTGTGAAATTTTAGGGGGGGTTCTCATACAAATGTTGATTGTCACATCAGGAAAGTTCCACCAGACCCAAATGCTCCAATTCCTCCTCTTCCTCTTCACTTGCATCCTCCTCCACCAAGGTCAGGATCTGCATGTCCCCTTGCATTGCATCACATTGACATTTTCTATTATTCACCCTCACCGTGGAGTGATTCAGCTCAGCTAAAAACGTGTCTTTTAAATTAGAAAAGAGCCTCCTGACCCCAACGCCCCTCTTCCTCCGCTCCCTCTTCACCTCCATCCCCCACCGCCTCCTCCGAAGCGTCCCTCACTGGATGGGAAAAAGGAGAAAGAGAGGTCTGACTGCATGTCTGCGATCACTGCCTTGGAGTGTCTGGGAGGATTATTTTGGAAAAAATAACCTGTAATCTTATTTGGAAAATTCTGCTCTTCATTGAATCCTTGTGTTATTTGCCACAGCAGGAAGGAATCGTTGGACTCGAAACCTCCTTCACAGAAGAAGACATCAGATCATGTGAAGAAAGACAGGTCCGCCCAGGATCTGGAAATTATTCTGTGCCTCATTCATCCTTGAAAAATAGCTTTTTCTGTTGTTTCGGGGGGATCATCAGTGATCTCAGACTGTAATCTCTGTGTGTCGTTTACATTAAAATATTTACATAATAATGTATATTACAGTAATGTAGTGTGTGCTGCTGTTATGAGAGTTGTATCAGAGTTTAAAGAATAAGCTTTTACAGATTTCTAATACAGTTTGTAAGTTTGTCATTTTTCATTATCCCGCCATCACATTTGTATTGAGACATATATTTGGGAGTTCAAGCTGGTGTAGAACTACTGACTCTAAAAAGACCACAGCTTTTGTTAGCTTTCCTTCTGGTACAAAGACTGTTTTCTTTTTGCAGGAAAGACTCATCGGATAGCAAAGTGTCTAACAAACACTCCGATGAAGCCAAAAGAGAAAGGTTGGCGCATCGTGAACGTGAAAATGATGAATGTGTGAAATGATGAATGTCACATGTTGTGGTTCTTGGTTCGACAAAAGCTTCGAGCTTCTTGAAACAAACTTTTGGGGGATGTCAGTGTATGAGGAGCTTTCTTTATTACACCTTTGCTGTCCTTTCTTTTTGTCAGGAAAGATTCCTCTGACTCTAAACCACCACCTCCCAAAAAACCCAGTTTGGATATCAAAAAAGAAAAACACAGGTGTGCAGGAGCAGGAAAATAAGTTCAGCTGTGTTCTGCTACATCTTGTCAAACATAATCCCCAAGCGTGTATTTTATGTTTTTACACTTTTTAATAGAACAAAAATAGTGCCAGTGTCACAACTCCATTTCTCTTTTGTTGCAGGAAGGACTCCAGCGACTCAAAGTCTGCCCAACCTGTGAAACGTCATTCAACTGACTCCAAACCTGACAGGTAGGACTCATATGCACTAGTTGAAATGAAATAGAAATAATGACATTGTCAATAAAGCCAGGTTAACTGAAAGAGTCTCTCTACATAGACGGGAATCCACTGAGTCAAAGAAAAGCAGCTCACTACCAGCAAAGGCGCTCACAGGTGAAAGGTAAATAACTTAAACTGCTGTTTCACAGGTTTCTATGGACAAGTGGAAGACAAACAGATAACGACTTTGACTCTGTGTTATAGGAGAGAGTCTCAGGGCTCTAAGACCTCTCAGCCTGCACCTCCACAGAGGAAGCCCTCAACTGACAGCAGTGAAAGGTATTTCTATATGAATCTTTATTATTGTAGGTTCATTATGAATTATGTGGGGGTTTTTTTCTCCTTTTTTTTGGTTGTACAAACTTTAACTTCACTGTTTGGTCCAGTCTCACTTCTCTCATCAGCCTTGTTTCCAGCAACAGCTGGTTTTGGTTAAAAAGCTCTGATAAACTCACCATACACTACTGTACCTGCACAACAAAAAAAAAAATAGTTAGCGACTGGCTGGTGGACTAGCTGGAGCAGATATTTTTATCAAGAGTTGGTGGAGACCAAAAACAGAGCTAAATGAGAGTGAAAAAAAATCAAAATCAAGATGAATGCCTGTTATGTCCAGGCAATGGGGAATTGTTTGACAACATGTTAGCCATATCAACTTTATGTTGATAATATTTTGTATTATAGTGTTACATTCTGATGCAACTGAGTGGGTAAAGTGACAGCTTGGACAGTGATGACTGGGATCACCAGTTCAAATACCAAAGATGTGAGACTTATCATCCTCCTTTGTGATTGCTGAAATGCCTCTTTTTTTACAGAAAGGGAAAGATCGATGCCCCTAAAACTCCCACCACCCCGACCAGCCCCATGTCACCCAGCTTCAGTTCTCCTGGGGGTCCACTGTCCCCTCACCTGGCTACTGGAGACTCCATCAGGGACAAGTGCATTGAGATGCTGGCAGCTGCCCTGCGCACAGACAGTGAGGCTTATATCACACTTTATCACTGACAGTGATAGACAACAGCAGCAAATGTCTTAATATGCTGACAGAGTAACTCATACAAACACAGATTGCATGTAGGAATTTGCAGCAATAAACTACGCAATTAGTATATCAGTGATCTGTGCAGAATAACATGAATAACTTTTTTCTCGTCTTCACAGACGACTACAAAGATTTTACAGCTAACTGTGACAGCATGGCAGCAGAGATTGAAGATCATATCCTTCAATTGAGTTAATTGTTTCCTGTCATCTTTGATGTGACTCATCTGTACTTCATACAGTCATGATCTAAATGGAAAGATACTGTTAGACACTATTACTGTGATCAGATACACACCATGACAGATTTAAATCTCCCTTGACTACATGGGTGCACATATCTACCAGGAGATAAGGGCCACTGATATGAAGTATAAGAACAGAGTCCGCAGCCGCATCAGCAACTTGAAGGACCCCAAGAACCCTGGGCTTCGCAGAAACGTACTGGCAGGGAGCATTGAGTTGAGGCGCATTGCCACCATGTCTGCTGAGGTACAGAGCGCCGCAGCGCCGTCTTTACTCACTAATGAACTCCTTTCATCATGCTCAGAATTGTTTCTGACGCTGGAAACACTTTGTCAAGTATCTGCTTGTTACACTGTCTGTCTAGCTTGTCAGTCTGCATGTCACACAATGTTTCATCTCATATCCACCTTACTTCACATCGTCCCCTCTGCTCCCTTTGCATATATAGGAAATGGCCAGCGACGAGCTGAAACAGCTGAGGAACGTTCTCACTCAGGAGGCCATCAGGGAGCACCAGATGGCCAAAACTGGTGGCACCTCCACTGACCTGCTGCAGTGCGGCAAGTGCAAGAAGAGAAACTGCACCTATAACCAGGTAAACAGACAGGCACATATGCACCAGCGCACGTTACATGCAGACAAACCTTAACACATACAGAAACTGGATGTACATTAAAAAGCTACTGGGATTTTTAAGATTTTTCTTAGTCTTGCATCTTAGGGTTGACTATAGAGTTTCAACAAAGCGAAATTTATAAAAAAGAAAGTTGTAAGACTGCAGTGTGCAGGTATCAGTGTCAGAATACAAGAAGAAAACCTACTTTACCTTCCTGTGTAATCAGGCTGTCAAACTGGGTTGTAAAGTGTATGAAGTTCTTAAAAGAACACTGATTCCTGGGCCTTTTTCATAGAGAGAGGGTCATATAATAGAAATAAGAGTCCTTTATCCTTACACACCATGTTACAGACCTGCATTGAAAAGTGATTTTTTCTATATGTGTGCACTTATGAGAAGCCAGATGGATTTTAAGGGCTGCCTTAGTGCTGCGGGATTAAATTTGCTTTGATTATATCATCACTATTTTCTGAATCAATGACCATCTATCAGAGACATGGAAGCCTGAGCCTGAACCTGAGACTGTGTGTGTGTGTGTGTGTGTGTGTGTGTGTGTGTGTGTGTGTGTGTGTTAGGTGCAGACACGCAGTGCTGATGAGCCGATGACCACGTTTGTCCTGTGTAATGAATGTGGTAACCGGTGGAAGGTAAGTCCTTGCCTTGGTCTCAATAACTCATATCCTTTATACTGTACTTGAATAATTTTAAAAACACTCTTTTAATACCTTTTTCTTTTCATTTTTCTATATTTCAGTTCTGCTGATGCCTTCCAGGCGAAACCACGTTTCTTTGTTTTGTTTTGTTTTGTTTTGTTTTTTCGGGGGTCATTGAATTGCATATTTTCTATAATGACAGGGAACGGCATTTATAAATTATTGCAACTAGTGATTTAAAAACAGCAGTATTCTTACAATTTTTACTTGAAATTTTGAGATTTATAAGCATGTGCTAATAAGAAGGGTTTGCTTTATGTGGGTTTGAAGACTGAGCATGAATGTCAGTTTGATGACTGAGTCATTGAATAATCCAGTTGGAAGACATTAACAATGATCATGGTGCTATCATGATGGAAACACAATCATAATCCAGTTAATATGTTGTCAGGCATATTGCAGCTATTCACTTGTATATATCGAATAACCAATAAACTGCATAAATAATCAGTATGATGGCTTTGTAAACTGTTTAATAAAAAACATTTGACAATCAGTCTAATTCAGAGTCACTTTGCACATTTTCATCCTGATGCCATAATTTCTTTTGGCATAATATTGTTTGTGTGGTCTAGATGCATTTCTTTTTGTTTTAATTATTTAATTTTATTTGGGCACAATAACTGGGATTCACTACAGTTTTTAAGATTTTATCAGTACTTTTTAATGATTTCAATAAACATAAAAGACCAAAACTAAACAAAAGAAATAATAACTGATCATATATTGAAAATCTGCATTATATTTACGATGTGCTAATATACCAAGAGGAATAAGAGTAAATTTTAATAATTATTAATAAATCAGGTTATTAATCCATTTCACAGATAAATATCAGTTCAAAGAAAGTCATTTTTAATGAAAATAGTGTAATGAGAGATGGACAACATAGAGTTTGCCTGTTGCACCAATGAACACAAACAGTAGATGGCAACAAGTCATCATAAGTCACAGGCACCATCAGTTCCCACAATTGAATTTTTCTTTCCTCAGGTTACAGACCACAAATTAGACGCTCACTTGTTAGTGCCAGTTCAACAGGCTGGTAAAGCCAGTGAGACGTGTTGCTGAAGATTATATTAAAGCAACATTACAAACCTGTTTCCTGAAGACTACTGATATTGCTATGAAAATATGTTTGATTGTAATTCACTTTGCTCAAGGCACAATCAATTCACAGTTTTCTAGAGAAATGACTAAATACAGTTGATGTACATTTTAGTGGTATATGGTAGAAATATGGTCTTGATTTCAGAAGCAGTGATAGAAAGAGAAAAGCTTCCCTGCAGCCCTCTGACTGAGTATCGACCATCTGGTTTCCTGTGAGTTGAAACCACATACATTTACTTCTTCTGCATCATTTCCACCATTAAAAGTCAACCGTTGATGTGCAGGCAGAGCTCAGAGAGCCTCAACTCTGTCAACACTGACTATTATTCTACACTGGTGCATTGCTGTTATAATCATCGTCCCTCTTTCATCCTTAAATCTAGTGAGGAGGAAACTGTCACCTGAAAGACAACTTGAACTCACCAGATTCTCATAAACAGAAATAAAAACGTATAAAAAATAAAACCGCGTCTCTGAAGTCATTCCATTAACTGGCTCTTTAGCTTGGGAATTCGCACATAAGCAAGTAAAATTAATAATCTGTGCAAAGACCAAAATTTCTCTCTGGAGTAATTTGTTAATGGATTCTGCAAGATACTTCCCCATGTTTTCACTTAGTGGCAGCTGCTACGCTCTGTGACCTCCAGTTGGTGAATGTGAATTCTGATGTGAGAAAATGCTGTTACGTCAGTAACGCTCTCTAAACTGTTTTCCAAATGAATGATCTTTTCATAAACCATTTATTATATCACTGCAAATTATATCTATATATTTTTATAATATTAGAATGAATGTCTGCAGTACAGCCAAAGTATAATTCTGCAATACATACTAACGTGGCCTGCCATGTTGAGTAAAATCAAAGACACACTGTGATGTAAACTCAGAATACGTGTCACAGATTCTCCCTTGAGCGCATTTGTGCCAATCCATCAGTGTCAGCTATGTACAGGAATCGTCCAACCAGATTTCTCCATCTGCTTTAAAACAACCAGATCTGAGGAGTTAAAGTGACTGTCAGTCAGGATGAATTTATTTCACTACAAAGCAGAAAACTTAGGAATAATTACATCTCTGTTAGATGAAAACAGACATTGCTGAAATGTGTCAACATTAACACTCACACTTTTTTCAGTCATGTATTTGAGAGGTTCAATGCTGAATAATACTGTGCATATATTGATATTTGTATTGATATTCCTGTAAGTTTATTGCTTTGTTTGCCTTTCAAAGTCTTCTTGGTCTGAAAGGTTTTTCTGCAGTCAGTGTTATGATGAGTCTGTATCCTCTCAGTCTCTTGTTGTTGCTGCATGCAGCCTGTCTATAAATGGAAATAAATGAGACTTGGTAGACATGCAGTGTACCCTGCATCACATTGAAGGCATTAAATGTACCCAACACTTCACCCTGCAGCTACTTATGTGCTTTGAATAATAAAGGTCTGGCTGATCATATTGTCTCAAATGTCTTAAATATTTAAAGTAATATCAATCAAACCCATGTTTTATAATTTAGCAAGACTAAGAGTCTATATTCATGTTAGTGGCTCTGTAAATGTCTCTAAATGTGAACTGTCCCAGTCACAGTATATTGCAGGTTTTCCCCTGAGTCATCATTAAAAACAATGTTTGTGTTTGTGAGTGCAACCTTGGACATGCAATACAAACTGAGTTATGACAACAGAAGTTCCTAAATTTATTTCATATACACAAAAATGCAGTGAGAGAAGTGTTCAGAAGCTTAAGTAAAAATAGCAAAAGATAAAAAATAGTAATATCACACTGTAAAAATTTTACCATTAACCTACTATTACATGTAAAACTCCTGTATAAAATATTAATATTAAAATTATTTACCAGTAAGTGAAAATAAGGATTATTATAAGAGCGTAGGTTTGCATATGGACAGAAGGGACATGTCCCTACCAATATTTTGGGGGGACAGAATTGTTCTTACCAATATTTGAGTGAACTTGTTCGCACTGTATTTTGAGTGAATTCATATTAGATCATTCCAATGTGCCCTCCAAGAGGCTACGTCTCCAATTCAACCAATTTAGGCATGCTAGCATTTGATTGACAGAAAGGACATGGGCTATCTGAAGGCTTAAGTCATGTGAGAATATCACAGGTACCTAACGTCACCAGAAAAATGTCATCTGATGTTATTTAACCATGTTAGCTAGTGTTAACTAGCAAGCTAACCCTGGCTTTGATTTCTGTCTTCTGCAGGCTAGCAGTCAGGTTGCCAGAAGGACTTAACATAAAATGGTGGACATATCAAAGTATGAGTTCATTTTCTGTAGAAAAATCACATGAAAATGTCACCATAATTGCTATGACTTTTTTCATGCCTTAGTTTACTATAAGGTTTTCATGCCTTACTATACTATGACATTTTTATGCCTTACTAAACAATCTTTTATTTATAGGGCGGCATGGTGCAGAAGTGGTTACAACTGTGGCCTCACAATAAGAATGTTCTGGGTTTGACTCAGGGCCTGGAGCCTCTCTGTGTAGAGTTTCCAAGTTCTCCCTGTGCCTGCTTCGTTTCTATCCGGGTACCCCTTCCACCCGTGGCACACTCTTGCAGTCCAAAGACATGCACATTAGGTTAATTGGCGACTCTTATGCCTTACTACACTATGACGTTTTTATGCCTTACTATACCATGACTTTTTATGCTATGATTTATATATGGGGTGGCTCAGTAGTGCAGTGGTTAGAACTGTCATCTCACAGTGAGAGGGTTCTGGTTTCGAATCCCAGGCCTGGGGCCTCTCTGTGTGTAGTTTACATGTTTTCCCTGTGCGAGCATGGGTTCTCTGCGGGTATTCTGGCATCCTCCAGTCCAGAGACATGCACATTTAATTGGAAATAAAAATTTTTTGACAATTTTTGTCAAATTACTTACTATATTAAGACTCTTTTATGCCTTACTGTACAATGACTTTTTTATGCCTTGCTATAAAATGACTTTTTTATGCCTTATTATACTATGACATTTATATGCCTTAATATACAGTACATTGATTTTTTGATGCCTTACTGTACTATGACATTTTTATGCCTCACTTTATATGACTTTTTTATGCATTACTATACTGATCTATGTATGGGGTGGCTGGGTAGAACAGTGGTTAGAATAGTCTGAACAGTGAGAGCATTCTGGGTTCGAATCCTGGGCTTGGGTCCTTTCTTTGTGAAGTTTGCATGTTTTCCCTGTCCGAGCGTGGGTTCTCTCCATGTACTCTAGCATGCTCCTGCAGCCCAAAGACATGCACATTAGGCTAAATGGAAACTCTAACTGAATTTTATGCCTTTCTATATATACTATGATTTTTTCATGCATTACTATAATATGACTTTTTTATGACTTACTATACTGTGACCTTTAATGCCTTACTGCACTGTGGCATTTTTATGTCTAACTATACTGTAATGTCTTTATGACTTTTTGTGCCTTATTATTCTCTGATGTTTTATGCCATTTTTTATGCCATTTTATGCCATCTTTATGCCTTACTATATTATATCGTATTTATGCCTTACTACACAATGTAGTTTTATGCCATTTTCATGACTTATTATATTATGATGTTTCTTGACATTTTATGCCTTATTATACTATATCATATTTATGCCTTACTATACTATGACGTTTTTTTGACGTTGTATGCTTTACTATGCTATGATGTTTTTTTACATTCATATCTTACTATGCTATGATGTTTTTTTACATTCATGTCTTACTGTACTATGATGTTTTTAGGCCTTCCTATAATATGACATTTTTGTGACGTTTACAATGTCTTACAATGACATTATTTACGCCTTACTATACTATGACGTTTTTTATGCCTTATTATATTATGAGGTTTTTTATGCCTGACCGTACTATGACGATTTTATGAAATTTTTATGCCTTACTACACTATGACGTTTTTATGCCTTTCCATTCTATGATGTATTTATGCCTTACTCTACTATGACGGTTTTTATGCCTTACTATACTATGACGTTTTTTTTTTGCCTTACTATATGTTACGACCCTAGTAGTCGTGTTTGGTGTTACTGCTCTCTGTCCAGGTGTTGCACCTCCTCCAGTGATGAAGATGAGCTGCACACAACTGCGTCTATTTGTTGATTAGCGGGAGGTATCATGTTGAAGGACGAGAGCTAAGTTGAGGCCAGTGGACCAGAGTGAGGCAGTGTGTTTCCTGCACATGTGATATTCCTTGCGTGAAGGTGTTTTCTGAATTTGCCTGAGTTTTCATTTTGTTCTTTGGCTGTTAGTGAATAGTTCTACATCCCTGGATGTTTGGAACAAGCACGTTTAATTGTTTTGTTTTTTTTGCAAGGTTTTGGGTTGCATTTAATAATAAAA